ACGTCTGTATTTGGTGGGACACTAGAAAAAGTGACGAAAACCCTACACGAACGTTTCGACTCGCATGAAGGGTACCAGCAAGATTTTTTAGATAAGCTGGAGCAAGATGTTCCAGAGCTGGTGCCTCACCTGGCGTACCGCTCATGGAGACTTATCGAGCTTGCACACTGCTTTCATAGCATTGTAGCCAGAGACCCAATCTTGACATTATTGATTCAATAGGATACAAGCAACGCAACTGGCCGTCCGGTTCAAACGTGGGCCCATCAGCAGACCCTGCACGCCCTCCACTGGAAAGATGTGCATGAACTCAGGTTTGCGCCAGCTGGCGGTATATTTTGGACCAGGGCGTGTATTGACACGACTGCTAAACTTTCAGGAGATCATTCTGTTATTAGGCTTCTGATCACGGGAAAGCTTCAGACATCTCAGATGAACGATTACTTTGAGGCTGTAACGGAGTACAACAGGGTCTGGAAGGATTTGCCGGAGTCCACTCGCCCCAATCTTGCAGTAACTGTTATACACCATGAGTTGGGAGCGTTTCTCCTGTCATCGACATCAGCTTCGGATTCTAGGAAAGAATTTACGAAAATGGAATTGGTGAACGCCATGGAAATGTTTGGCAAGAATCTTGTTGACGAAGCAACTAGCAAATCCGATAAGGCCATGACCGTCCAGCCGCCGGCGGGTTGATTTTGTGAATCACCCTGCCATCCGACGTGTATGATATAACCCAGTACCACCATTTCAAACATGCCTGCCATGCTAGCACCCATTACTCATTTCATGTCTGCGCATCTTCTTCCCCTTCTTTCTTGGTTGTAGATATGTTGTGCCTGTTTTCATGCTGCCATGTTGCCACTTGGGGTTATACATTCATGCAATCCCTCATTCATGCGTCCTTCAGCGCGAGGGTTTTTTCTCGGCTGGCTCGGACCAGGTGAATTTATCTGACGGTCCCAAGTGGTGTTTGTCCTGACCTATTTCTGTTAGCAGAATGTACTCACCTCCGGCTACGCGTGGCCAGAAAGCGCCTGCCTCGCCTGTCGACACAGGGTGGTGCTGGTGTCCAAGCGATGTTTATCCTGATTTATTTCTGTTAGCAGAATGTACTCATTCTTTCCTTCCATGCAGTCGACCTCCGGCTACGTGGGTCCAGAAGGCGCCTGACTGGCCTGTCGACACAGGATGGTGCTGGGGTAGGCCATTGAAAACTGAATTTCGTTTGTTTTAAGTGGACCTTCTTGGAGTTTTCCAATGTATTGTACCGGTACTGGAATGTTATTCTTTCTTTTCATGCTATCTCTATTTTTTCACATCTACATGACTTTATCTTGCCCGTAAAAGAGGCCGTTACCCCGAAAACATTCTCTCCTCCGGGGGCGCAGTTTTTTGTTTTTGTTTTGTCTTTATTACTAGTTGTGGATGCCAAGAGTGCAGCACTAGTAAATTCGAGAGAGTTCTTGTCTAGATCTCTGTACTCGCGTCTACGGAATTTCGACAAGTATAATTCTACTTCTGCACCAACCCGATCACCTGATGAGGAAATGGCTCTGTTTACTGGCTTACCACATATCCGTCCTGAGAAATGTTCAGCTGATGTATCGCATGGTGCCATCAAGGGATCATCTAGCAAGCGGGATGCCCAGTAGACCAAAGGCACAGCAAGATTTGACCATTGCATTCCTCAACATTAAATTTTGTAGTCTACGCTAGAAAGTACATGAACTGTCGGACCTGGTGCATTCGATGGACTGGGTAATCCTGAAATAAAGGGTAATAATTTTTTGACTTGGCTCACCAACACAGTAGTTAACAGTGAGATCGATATAATAAAATTATATCGATCGCATTGTTAACTATTATCTGGATACAGGCTTGCCAGGCTGAATCGAGCCGGCCGTCCCGGTGTAGGTGTGTGCCCAGGGCTACACTTCCTGTCAGGCGTTTTTGCACGCATAGTAACATACCACACAACTTGTGTGGCTCCGAAGATTCAAAGGTCAATTGGAGGGAAAGCTAAGCGAACATGAACGATGCTAAGTCGAACACCTCACAGTGCTGTTCTTCGACTACTAGTATGATAATAATTATTTAGGCGGAAAATAAGCAGCAGTAACAAGCACCGTTTCCACACAACGATCCTTTCGACACATAGATATGGGCGGCTTATCAGCTTGGCTCTCCATCCGAGTCTATTCTTATTAAGCACTTGCTGAGTATGTATTTTTCTTTCGATATCACTTTGACCGATATATCATTACACCCCGTCACTCTATAGCCGATGACAACTTTACATTGCCCCAACGGGTTCGAATTGAACTGTTCTGGGCTGGTCAATTCAAAGTTCTTCTCTTGAGTCTACGTTCTCTTTTATGAGGTTAAAAAGCAAGGTATTTGAACTTATCTATAGTCCCTCACAAGTCTAAGCGAACTGTATTGAATAGATCGAAGGAAAGTGTTTTTTAAAGCTTTCGAAGTAACACGTACATACTCTACTGTTCTAAAGCAAGCCTGAAACAGCACACAATGAAATCTTAAAATTAAAAAAAGAGAGGACCATAAGTTTACAAGTAATAGTTATCCGTTTTGTCCAATACTAGCGATTATAAGCAGGATACTGGTGAGTCAAAATGTGCATCCTTGGCTCTCCATCCGAGTTGAAATCTTATATTTAAGGCTATTTCCCGTTGTCTGGCTGTTTTTGTCCATGCATGCAGCAACGCTATCAACTCAGTTCTTCTTTGAACACGTCCTACATCAGTGCTGCGAAAACTCTGTATTATTCTCCATTTGCGTAGTTAGCCTGGAATCAAACTTAATTCCGGACACCTACAGGCTTGCTACCAGTAATTTATCCGAACAAGGTCTTCCATTTTAAATCCGTTCCGAAGATTTGTAATCCACCACTAATGTCGATTGATTGTTCAACTATCCAGCTTAACGACGCAACGCACAACGCATATGGCCGATTAGTTTGCAAGCCTGCCTGCGAATCATGAGATCCCGAGTTCAAGACCCGCGCTGGTAGCAGGGAGCGTGTAAAAAAGACTTTTTACGCGTGTTGAACTGCGCCGACACCCACGGTCAACTGGGTAATGTACTCACAGCTCGGAGTGAGAATGACATGGCTCCAGTTTACAGGGTTATGTATAGGATATTGCACGGTTCCGAGGGGATTATTTTTCAAATCCCCAAGGCGCGCAGCGCCGCGGGGATTATGGTTATGCTGGTAGAAGGACTGGGTCCGACCCACCGTCCGAGGGGATCCACAGGATTTCCTGTGGATATGAGATCCCCTCGTTTGAGAGGATTATGAGCCATAATCCCCTCAAACTAGGGGAAATATCCGTAGATCACCTGAAAAGGGTGGTCTATGGGCCGTTACACGCCCGATTGGTTGAGAGACTAACCTCCTCTCCCCTGACTCACTTGTGGGGTCTGCATTCGACACTAAGGTGAACAGGCATAGTGGTGGCCTGCGGATGCGAAGGCTAGTTTGTGTGTTTCTGAACATTCAAGTGATGCCGACGCGGATCCCGCGAATATTATTATTATTATTAGCCAGCTTAGCACCAACGCTACATGAAACGTCCGGTCTCGCCATTCTGTGGAACAGGGCCGGGTTTTTGCTCCATCGTCAGAAGCTGACCGCAGGTGAAGCTGCCGCCTGGCTACTGACTCAAATGAAGGATGTTCTTGGTGGGGCACTAGAAAATGTAACGAAATTCCTACACGAACGTTTCGACTCGCATGAACGATACCAGCAAGCTCTAGGCCGGAGCAAGATGTTCCAAAGCTGGTCCCTCACTTGCCCCTGGTGTACCGCTCATGGAGAGGTAGAGCTTGCATACTGCTTTCATAGCGCTGTAGCCAGAGACCCAACCTTGTTCTCATTGATGGCACGGGATTCGAGCAACATAACTGCCCATCCGTACCAAAAGGGAGCGTGGGCCCATCACCACGATCTCCATTGGAAAAAAATGTGTATGAATTCAGGTCTCCTCTAAACCAGAACATACAAGCACTTTGGACCAGGGGCTGGAACGTGACTGCTAAACTTTCAGGAGATTATTCCGTTATGAGGCTCCTGATCACGGGAAAGCTTCGGACACTCAGAAAACGATTACTTCAAGGCTCTCAAGGAGTACAGCAAGGTCTGGAAGGATTTGCCGGAGTCCACTCGCTCCAGTCTTGCAGTGATACACAATGCGTTGGGAACGTTTATCCTGTCATCAACATCAGCTTCGGATTCTAGGAAGGAATTCACGAAAAAGGAGTTATTGAACGCCATGGAAATTTTTGGCAAGAAACTTGCTGACGAAGCCACTAGCAAATGCTATACCTAACAATGTAGAATAGAGCCGCAGCACGTCGCTTACAGGAACTGAGTGACTGACAGGGACCAGAGCGACCGACATGTCACGGTGTCGCAGGTACTTGCCAAGATGTGGAGGACGGGAATGGAATCGAGAGCACGGAGAACAAGGGTAACCCACCAAGAAGGACCAAGAGACGCCGCGAGGAGGAAAAGAATGACTTGGATAAAGAAGACGAGGAATCGACCACAGTTGGTGATGGTTCCCACCTTCCAACCCAGCTATTGCCTCAGTATGTGGGTGCATAGCAACCCACTCATGTCGTATGCATGTGTGACTTTTACTTCGCCACCAGGTGTCACTCCGCTCCTATTAGCCAAATCAGTCAGTGTCACTGGCTACATCACCTTGCTGTGAGTAAGACCGCTTGAAATGTGCTTGGATCCAAACAAAAACTGGATCCAAGTGGATCCAATTTTTGAATTTTGGAAACAATTTAATCGTTGCTATGCTGTGGCGTAGCACTTTCAAGCCCTATTATGTACATGTATGTACAGCTCAGGTGACATGATCTTTCAGTGAACCAAACATTCAAAAGTCTACTGGCCTGTTGAGGAAATGCTAATAATTAATATTAGCTTCCTATGCATCAGCCCTACAGGGCCTACACCGCGGCAATCTCCAGACTCAGTGACCAGGGCCCGTTTTGTTTGGCCTTATAACTTGATCAGAGTCAGTGTGGCACTAAAAATGAAACCAAATCTGGCAAGGATAGGAGCATCAAAAATATGATTAAAAATAGCCAGTCTACCACCGACAAAAAGCAGGTTTGTAGAAATATTTATCAGAAATGTCAGATTGTCAGACTTTGAAGAGTTAAACTCAGATGTTGAGTCAATAGTATTTTTTTAAGAAAACATATTCTTTGTGACAATGCCAACTACAGTACTAGTAAGCAATGAGGAGCTGGTTTTGTGACAATTTGCTGATAACAGGTGGTCTATCGGAACAGATTACTAGCAGTAACGTGAGCAGATCAAAAACGCTAGGGCAAGCAGAATACAGTTACATGTACTTGGTACCAGTGGGGGTCATTAGAAGTATGGTAAAGCTGCCAGGGTGGTGGTGGGGGGGGGGGAGGGGGGGGGGAGAGGGGTAGGGGAGGCCAATACTTTTGATCCGGGTGATTACCAAGCATGCTGCTTCTGATGTGGTGCCACATAGCTCCATTGGAAAAGATTGCAAATGACAGTGGTCATATTGCTGATTGACTATCATGGCACAATCAAGTACAACGTAGCCGTGTCTAGCCTGGCCATGTCTGCAGAAGTGTCGGCAAAAGTCAAAATGATTGGGAAAGATTCTACTGGGCCAATACCCGGGAACGTGTACGTGCACATGAGCTAGAGAAAATCATCTCCTTCAACATTCTTTATCGACATTCAAAAATCAAGATATTCATTCAAAAAATCAAGACGCAAGCAAGTATCCGGCAGTGAATAGTGGAGTGAGCATTGTAGTAGTGGAGATAACTCCATTCCTGGAACAAGAGAGCCAGTGCCACAAAAGGAGATTCCTTTGCTGTGCCGATGTCAGCGCCCAGTGCATCAATGGCGGCCCACATGCAATTTCTGCTTCTGCATTCTTTTCTCTTTCTTGATGGCGCACAGGTACTGATACGGGATCCAGGCAAAGCTGACCAGTTCTGGGCGGTAACCCTTCCGGGGCGTACGGCTATGACTGGATCCATCGCCGCGACTGCTTGTGTAATGAGGATGGTATGTTACGGTGTACCAAGCGGATGCCTTGCGATGTAGGTACGCTGTCTCGCTGCCGCCGCGGTATTTCTCTGGAACGTCGCCAAACTCCTCGTCTAGATAGTGCTGCCTGAGCCGCGTTGCCTCCTGACGCACCTGTGCACAGCAGGGTAATTATATAGCAAACGCGCACGGAGATTCACGCAGTTCATTGCAGTGGATCTTTTCTTTCTTTAAAATGTTAATAGTAATTTCTGCATATAGGCGTGCAGCGCGCATTCTCAAATAATCCCCACTGACCTCATTTCCAGAATGTGTGTACAGGCACATTTATGTCCAGGAAATTCGGATATCAAGAGATGTCTGGCTGTTATACCGTTCAAAGGAATGGGAAGAAAAATCTACGGTCTTGTACCCAAAATAGCCAACATCCTATGTACACTGCAGTACAAATGCTATACTAAAAAGGCTAAAATAGCTCCTAAAGGATCAAATTTAGGGGTTATGGCAAAAGGAATCGTGATAAATAGGATATTGACCTCGGCGGACCTCGGTCTTTTACTCGGCCTATATTTCCAATATACATGTAGACCTCGTCTCGGTCAATGTCCTATACATATCGAAAGAATTAGAAGCGTCATTTATTTATAAATTAGAATGGAACCTCTCTGTTGTATAAATTAGAAGAGAGTATTGCGTAAATGAAATTTCAGCCCAAATGGTACCTGAGTCTGACCTGGAAGAACATGGAATGGCTACAGTAGAACTCCCCTTAGTACTGCCATATATGGAATGGCCATTATTCCCCTTAGTACTTCTGTACATGGAATGGCTATTGCTGGTGAAATACATGTACATGCTGGAACCAGGGGCACGGGAGGGTATTTTAGAGTGGCATGGTCGACCATCTGAGGCACAATTTACACGTTGGGTAGGACTCTGCTGAAAAGTTTCGAAATTTAGAGTCAAAAACAGTGCATTTTTAAAATTGATTCGCAGGGTACCCGGGGCAAAAAGTGGTATGGTCAAAGCTGCAGTGACCATAGCGTACTAGCGTGTCTAACTGCCCTGAGAAATGTAACGCAGTGCCGAAGGCAGGACAGGCTAGAAGTACACCAGGCACAGCATAGCGATATATGCAAGGACCTGGTGACTTTACTACCGCAGGCATAGATTGCTCTACATGAAAATGAGGACGGTCCAGGTTACGAGGCTGATCCCCCCCCCCCCCCCCCCCCCCCCCCGCCCACAGTTCTTTGGCACCCGGCATAACTGCATGGGATGAAACTAATGTCTGTGAGGAAATCAAGTACAATTCACACTGCGCACTATTGTTTTCTCGCACATTTCTTTCTTACATCTATCTGCCATACCTTTTGTTGTATATCATGCAGTGAGCGTTGTCGTTGGGAGCGGGGCAGCTTGATAAAGAACCCGCCAACAGCTTCTTCTTCCTTCTTCAGTTGGTATTTGTTCATGATCATCCGCAGGGCTGCATCATAGTCGGTTTTGCACAGACGGGCTTCTTCGTCAAACTCCTCATGGCCGGCGACGTTGAGATCTGCATCAAAGAAGTCACGGTGATGCTCGATTCGTAGTCTACCACTCGTCTGCGGTGAACATTTCTTGTGGAACTGGTGGACGTCGTGGAAGAGACGACCGAGCACTTTCTTTGACGTGTGCTCCTCCTTGTCGCGCTTCTTCATGAAGTCTGGGTACGTGGCTGGTGAGTGTCGTTTTGGGTCGTACTCGACTGGCACGCCAGTCTTTGGATAGTCGACGGCATCTGACTGCATCTGCGCCAGTTCCAGGCAGACGGGGTCGTTGGCAGACTGGTCGCTTAAGTCGGCGAGCGCCAAGTGTGAGTTGCAGATAACACCCAGAGAGTCGTTCTGCATGTACTTGACGAAGAAGTCATAGATATGCTCCATGGTCACCCGGTCGACTTCCTGGGCTTGCTTGCCCGCGTACTCCATGGGTGGTTGGACCTGCGTTGGTATCAAGTGCGGATTCCAGGTCACAAAGTATGTGTCACCGTCCAGATCCGAGCCACTGCATTCGTCCGGATGGGGACGCACTCCTCGTCGCGGAAATACCAGGCAATTCTCCAGCATGTGCAAGCTGTGCCCGGCCGTTGGTGCAGCCATAGCCATCAGGACACGTACGTCGCCAGGATGTAGGCACGGGTTCTTGGCCACAGCAACCGGTCCAGTTATCACTTTCTGAAGGCCATCGTTGTCGCGAATGCAGATGTAGACTTCGCCATAGTCCAGGAAGCCACTTTCGTCCAGCACTCCGTGCAAGCAGGCAGCGTCCTCCACAAAGATGCGCGCCTTCTCCTCGAGCATTGCCAGTCGAGAGTTGCGATACGCAAGCATCATTGCCTCCAGGAAGGGCTCTGGGAAGCGGACGCCACTTTTCATCATTGTGTGCAGGAGTGTAGTAGGTGCAGTGACATCACTTAGACAATGTTCTTTGGCGATGTAATTCATTGCAACCTGCAGAAAGATAAACAAGGATTTAGACACAATCATGTATTTAATAAGAAGACAAAGACAATGAGGATTGCGTCGTACTTCAAAGTTTAACATCTGTGGCAATCCTCAGGCAATGAGCCTCTTCTACAGTGCTTTTTAATGAAATCCTTGAGCCAAGTTTGCGCCCAGCACCAATCAACATCCCAGTTTTCGCAGGTATAGGGCTGCACAGCGCGCGGCGTAGCATCGACTCGATTGATCGAATTCCATTCACCACTGTATGTGTGAAAATATTGTGCCCTGTGCATTGAGAACTAGTACAACAGCTCTTGCTACTTTCAATGGACACAGTCATATGCGACCTGAAAGACAGGCTGAAGACGGACATCAAAGACAAAAGGAACTGTGAGGACGTGACTGTTTCAGCCGACATGACCCGCAATCTGTATCGCATGTCAGGTGCCCAGTACAAGCCCTTGCTATGCACTAACATCACGAAGAAGTACATGCCACCTCCAGGTGCGGGTCATGAAGCTATCAACGCTGAGGCCAAGGCTGAGGGTGCAGCAATGGTGCTAGGCATCGAGGACAGAATGGAGCGGCTTGACAAGTACCAACGGTTTGTCACATCAATGGACCAAAGGGATGGCTTTGCTGATTCCCTGCAATACTGACAAATTAACCCGGCCAAATCGGAAATGGGCATTGCCTGCAAGATCATCCTACAAAGACCATGTTCTTATGTAACATTTCAGGACTGACCTGCTCATTCCGTACACAGTCGTCCAGTTTGCTTGTCATCTTCTTTTGCAGGTCAATGAAGACGCGCATGTCAATGCCCAGTGTGCTGAGAAGGAGTATGATCTGCCTGTTGAGATGACCAGGCAGAAGACGCGATGCCTGAATGACCTCCAGCTGCAGGTGCTTGCTCTCAAACTTGCGCATGCTGGGACGTAGTTGCAGCTTCAGGTGTGCTTCCATGTCAGGGTTAACTGCCACCATGCCCTTGTAGCCGGCAAAGCGTATCTGAAAAGCAGATGGGACACCACCTTTCAGGTTTGGCACGACTAGCGCAGCCTCCTTAGCGAACTGCAAAGAAAAGAAGAATCATCAAAATACTTAAAATAGTGTGAACGGTACCATTCGGCTGTTCAATACTGCAACAATCTCTCCTACTCTTTCCTCCATGCGCTCTCAGACGGCTGTGGAGCTTGGACGTATGGACGAGAAGAGGAGGAGAGCCTGATTGTAATCGTAATACTTATTGTAAAATTGCTTCAAAATTTAAGATCAGTTAGGATAATTCCCATCCATCCATCCATCCATCCACCCATCCATCCATCCATCCATCCATCCATCCATCCACCCATCCATCCAACCATCCGACCATCCATCCATCCATCCATCCACCCACCCATCCATCCAACCATCCAACCATCCAACCATCCAACCATCCATCCATCCACCCACCCACCCATCCATCCATCCACCTATCCATCCACCCATCCATTAATCACCCATCCATTAATCACCCATCCACCCATCCATCCACCTAATCCATGCCCATATACAAGAATAGGTACATTGTATTGCCACTTTTCATACATTGCACAATCCTGTCAGTGATCTCCCTAATCCTATTTTGTTGTAGTCACGTTTCCATTAAACTAAAATTAATCAGAACGTGCTAGAGTGTACGTGAAGTGTGTGGATTACAGTGAGGACTGCGTCCGACCCGCCTGTGTGGATTCACAGGAAATTTGAAGGGAAGTTAAGGCTAAAATCAAAATTTCACCAGTTGTAGTCTTCGGGGTGCTGACTCGAATGGTCTTGGTCCGAGAAAGCTGAGACGCTCCCTTCCTACTTTAATCCCAATCGAACTCGCGCGCTTCCACCAAAACTGGGTGACTGCGCCCTACTAGATGGGGATTTCTATGCAAAATGTCACTAAAAGCGCCATTTCGTTCTTATAAAAGCACGGATGACCACGATTGGCCCATATGTTGTAGTCTTTTGGACGCTGAGTCGACTGGTTTTGGTCCGAAAATGCTGCGATGCAGCGTTCCTCCTTTATTCCCAATCGAACATGGTTGAACAAGCGGTCACGTGCTCCTGGGTGCCCAAATCACCTGGTCACCACGCCAGCAGGCGACAACTTTCACACCAAAGTTCAACTCGAGTTCAACTCGAGTGACAGGACTGCACCCAAAAAAGGTCAAACAGGCTAGAAATGTGTACCCTGCAGGCACGGTGACCAGGTGACTGGTGTACGCAGGAGCACGTGACCGCTTGTTCAACCATGTTCGATTGGGAATAAAGGAGGAACGCTGCACCACAGCCTTTTCGGACCAAAACCAGTCGACTCAGCGTCCAAAAGACTACAACATATGTGCCAATCGCGGTCATCCGTGCTTTAATAAGCACGACATGGCGCTTTTAGTGACATTTCGCATACAAATCCCCATCTAGTAGGGCGCAGTCACCCAGTTTCGGTGGAAGTGCGCGAGTTCGATTGGGATTAAAGTAGGAAGGGAGCGTCTCAGCTTCCTCGGACCACAATTCGACTCAGCACCCTGAAGACTACAACTGGTGAGATTTTTATTTTTAACCTTAACTTCCCCCTTAAGTTACAAAGTCTGAAGAGAATGTTGAACGGCCTCTGCTGGGTTGACGACTACACCATAGCTCAATGGTTAGAGCATTGCTGGCTACAAGCGAGGGTCCCTGGTTCGAGTCCTGGTGGTGACAGTCAATTTTTTCTTCAGAATTTTCCCGCCTGTGTCTTTTCCTCAAACCAGTGAATATCTTATGACTTGGGGCATGCTAGTTTGTACGTGAAGTGTGTGGGTAACAGTGAGGGCTGGTTCCCACCCGCCTGTGTGGGAAGTGTGAGTTACACCGACTACACCATAGGTCAGTGGTTAGCGCATCGCTGGCCTCAAGCGAAGGTCCCTGGTTCGAATCCTGGCGGTGACAGTCAATTATTTCTGCAGACCGTTCCCGTTTGCATCTTTCCCTCAAACCAGTGAATAATAATTGTGATTATTTTTTTTACAGAAACGTGACTACAAAATATAATTATAGTATGTACAATGTACTTCTGAAGTACATTAATTTTCTTTTCCCCATAGTCACAACAAATTCAAACAAGGCCTAACAGCGGCTAATGAATGGGTAGTTTACTTGAACATCACCTACGATTTCACTACCGTGAACTTCTAGCGATTTTAACAAGAAGGGTGTTTTGCTTAAAAGTTCAATCGTACCATTCTGCATAGCATGTGATATGCATCCAATCTTTTTCATATTGGTTGTTAAAAAATTTCCTCTCGAGTTCGTGCTGGCGGATAAATCTCTAACACGACTTACAGATGGAGAAATCATGCCGATGCCATCCGAGAATGTGTATTTTCCATCCCGGGTCTTCACGTCCCGCACTTCCTTAAACTCTGATCCGTCAACGGTGAGTTTGCCTGATGTACTCGTGCAGGAGAAACATTGGCCCATGCGCGCAGCGTACTTGGCAACATTCTTGATGTTGGAGAAGTCCCCCATCCAGTTCCGGATGTCTGCAGCTGTGACAGACGGTCGTCGTGCTTCCGTTTCAGACGAGAAGAACCAGCAGCTGTTCTCCCTCAGCTGACTGTTGGACATGGCCAGAAACTCGTAGTGCCGACCAGCAACATCGATGCCTTCACTGAGGGTCTTCCTGATGAAGTCAGTGATCTCTGTAAGTGGTCGGCTGGCTTTGCCCACGTTCAGCTTTTCACGGTGTTCATCGGCAAAGTTCACACGCAGGAAGCGATCTGACAGATGCTTGTAGTGCCTTAGCACACGGTTCGCTGTGTCCAGGTATGGGCCATAGCAGTAGATGAGCAGTGGTGTAATGGTGGCATGGTGAACCATGATGTGATCGTCCGTCGAGCAATCCACCGCGAAGTCGTCCTTTGGTGAATTGCCCACATTGCGACCCTCGTGAATAAGATCTATTGATTTGAGAAAGTCCTCAGCAGGATCCTCCATGACCTCGCCATACTGGTCCAGGTAGTAGCAGTAGCGCTGTTGATAGTGACGCAGGCAGCGATAGGCATTGGGCTGCTTGAGTAGTTCAAAGAACAGCTCCGACATTAGCTCTCGGTACAGCAGACCATCACCCACCATTGCCTCGACAAGAAACATGAGCTGGAATGGAACTCTGCTGGCAAGCTTTGCATATTGGTCACGCCTCAGGAGACCTTTGGATGTAAGCCGTCGGATTCGAGCATCATAGTGCACATAGCCATTGTACTTCTCCCTCATGCGCTTGATGATAGCTTCAAACTCTTGTTCGCATTGTGGTGTGAGCAGGTAGTGGAAATATTGGCCTTGGATGTTCGGGTCTTGGGTAAACGTCCCAGTTGTACGACGCCAATCACCCTCCTCTTCCACATCTCCAGCTAGAAAGAAATTGTCTGCATGGTACAGATCCTCCCCATCATCAACATCAGCGCCAAACTCCAATTTTTCCAGAAAGTCTAAAAGCCTATGCTTCTTGTGTAGATAAGCATGAAATCTATAGGGATCCTCGTCGTCATCGTACTCCTCATCATCTTCATCATCGTACTCCTCCTCGTCATCATCATCGTACTCCTCATCATCTTCATCATCGTACTCCTCCTCCTCGTCATCATCATCGTACTCCTCATTGTCGTCACTGTACTCCTCCTCATCATCGTACATGTACTCCTCATTGTCGTCACTGTACTCCTCCTCATCATCGTACATGTACTCCTCATCGTCGTCATTGTACTCCTCCTCCGCCTCACCATCGTACATGTACTCCGCATTGTGGTCATCGTACTCCTTTCCCTCATCATCACACTCCTCATAATCGTCGTCATCGCACTCCTCATCATCGTCGTCATCGCACTCCACATCATTATGACAATAATGAGATCCGGAAGGATTTTCCACAATCGAGGTAGCAAGTTCACTGGCTGCAGTCTTCCGACTGGCTACATCCCTGTCCTTTCTGAACACCAGAGGTGCATTCAAGAAAGCCAGAACAAGACCATGCGATACACAGCGAGAAGATGCAGTGGCAACATCGCTGGGTAAGTTACCAGCCCTCAGATCCAGGAAATACTGCATGTCCTTGAAGAAGAACTGGACTTTGTACTCGTGCTCGTCAGTCATGAAGCACAGGTGAATCTCCCCTTTCCTGAAGTTCACAGTGCACTTGATATCTCCTGCAATGCTATTGTTGCCATCCAGTGAAGACCATCGCTGCAGGAACATGCTTTGCTTCAGGAAGAACACACCGATTGAGAATGACTGCAGCTGGTGGATTTCCAAGTCGATCGGTTCCGTGATAACTCTCTGCCCTCCACGCACTGATTTAGCCACTGTCAATAGCCGACCACCGAGCATCATGGACAACTTGCATCTCAGCGCTCGATCACAATCTGCACGGCTAGCGACCCGCACGAAGGCATAAGGACGCTTACTCCTTGGTTTCCTGATCTGGCAACGCAAAACGTGGACGCCATGTCGTTCTATCTCGGATTTTAGGACTTGGGACTTGGTTCTCCGGGGTAGATTTCCAATGAACAACTCCGGTTGAGTTCTATCACCCGACGTCGTACTCTCCGAAGCTGCCATTGCGCCTCCAAGGGTAAAAGTTAATTTTTTTGATTGGTTGAAGGGTGAAGAGCCGAAGAAATAGACTTGAGTCTGAATGTTGCATCGCACAAATCTCGCCTACATCGTTTCAGCTCGCACTCATGTCGTTTAACTGAAATGCAAGTCAGTGATTGAAAAGTCAAGGAACCTACTTCGCCTGCCGGCCAAGAATGATCTTCTCCTTCTGATCTAGCACTGTCCGAAACTCTTTTGGTGCCCGCTCTGCGGAATTCCTTTCGGTTAAGGCATGACCATCTTACACTACATGACGTCATGAGTGTTCTTGTTGATGGCTTGAAAGCAGGTTTACACTGTATCATGATTGCACAAAAGACAAGTCACGGAACCTACTTCACCTGCCAAGATGATCTTCTTGTTACATCTATTATGTAGCACTGACTGTTCGAAACTCTTTCGAACTCTTTTGGTACCAGCCCCGGGGAATTCCCTACTGTTGAGGCATACCGCCGGTACATACAAAAGTCACGTAATCTACTGTACTTTCTTTACCTGCCAAGTAGTTGCCAAGATGATCTTCTAGTTCTGATCTAGCACTGTCCGAAACCCTTGGCCGGGTCGGCAAAAAATAATATAAATTATTAGTCCTTCACTACAAAACCGTCCATGCAATAGGTACACTACATGTATAAGTATAATACATCCCAAGAGTACAAGCGTACTAGTGTATTCGTCGTTGATGGGTTACTATCGCTGTCGGGTGTCTTTCGCGCTGCTACGTTCCGCTGTGTTGTGTGTCAGGGGTGCTCGGTCGGCCCGTCACCGTCCAGTTCACAAAATGGTTCACATGCTCCGTGAGTTGGCGATGGTGGAGGGTCGGGCTCCCCTGCCATGATTGGTGCTGCACCGAGCTTGTTTTGTGTGAAAGTATAACTGTTATTATTATTCTTAGGCCAAACTAAAGAAGGTGTGTGGTTCGACTAACATGGACATTTTTTTTACGGGCGGGCGGGCGGATTTTTTTTTTAAATATATTTTTTAGTACATGTAAATACACTGTACTGCCTTTAGACACCCAGTACATCGGCATTATTACGCAGTGTTATGCCATACATGTTGTATAAAGGGATCACTGGCTAATACTTTGAAACATTGTGTAGCTCTGGAACGAGAAGAGAATAACTTCAAGCGGTGACTCTGACTGTCCAAATCATCAAGCAAATGAAGAACGATGCGAGTTGAAAGTAAGTTCGGGAACTACTTCGAACTCAATCGAAGTACAAATTGTACAATGTACCGGTACATGTATTGCTAGTTTGGTGTCGGCGTGCACGAATACATGGGCTTTTTCCATCGACGCTTCCTGTGCTTGCACACATGGAGCAGCAACTAATACTTACCGGTACAGGTGAAATATCGTTCCCAATACACGAGGAAAGTGCAATCTCGTCTGTCCTTCATCCCAAAACAGAAGGCCGTCCTTAATCTGGAACGAGGCAATCACTCTCAACCGGACGGTCACTTCAAAAATTAATAAGTCTCGCGAGTCTGCCGGTGGTCGTATGAGTAGACTCTACTACCAGCACAAGGCAGCAGTCGTACCACTCACTGCACTGCACTGCAGTACAACTACAAGTCAAGTCCAAAAGGAGCCGCCTAGCCTAGCGCCTGCGTCCGCAGACTCACGCTGCACAACACGTAGACGTGGACGTGTTCAGTCCACGTCTACGTCAGTCACACGACAGCCCGCCGAAAAAAAGTTACGGTCGGGCTGAAAAATGTACGGTCGGTCGGGTGAGTCGAACCACAGACCTTCTTCAGTGTGGCCTTATATCTATACGTCAAGTATTACAAAATAATTGAGAGGCTTTGAATCGTTTTTATCAAAATCTAAATATTTGCCGGGTTGGAAGGTACTAGGTGGGAAACAAGCGTACTAGTGGGATGTATTCTACTTATGCTGACTTTCATACACACTGACAGTCAACTCCTCTTAGGCCTGCCCTACCTCCGGGGCAACGGTATATACATGGGGTACTAGTATATGTATATAATATAACCTAACCAGTTGATTATATGGGAAATATAAACCTGTATACAAACCGAGGCGAAGCCGAGGTTTGTATATTGGTTTATATTTCCCATATTCAACTGAGTAGGTTATATTATGCTTATACTGAGCTGATATACAAACTCCCCTAGTGTGATCCTAAAAAAAAAGGAGTTTATATACCGGTTTATACACCAGTTTATACACCAGTTTATATACCAGTTTATATTCTCGTCATCGAAGTACCTGTTATATGCAAAATACAAGTCTGGAGTGTTGTGTGGGGAGAGATGGGAGTTTGTATACAAGCTCAGTATAAAGGGGTTTATACATGTAATTGTGTTTATGGGGTTTATAGCTGGGATTTATACATGTATACCCAATATAAGACACCTGCATGATGGAGAAGGTGACTGGAAGGTTTTTAAAAGAAGAAGGTCACTGCTCCAAACGTTAGAGCTTGCTCTTCCCGCCGACTGACTGTGCGCTTTATAACTCTTTAAAAGGTGAACAGATTCTTCTTTTGTTTACACAAGACCGGTTTAGTGAAGATGTAAATTGACTCCATATTAAACACGCAAATAACGCTGACTACATGCACGAGACCAGATCGACAAACATACACTTTAACATTACTTTAGGATTTAACACCGGGTCCTAGGCGACGGCTACAATGGCCAACCGGACAACAAAGAAGTCGAGGCCAAAGAGAATGATTTATTTATTGCGCCGTCCCGTATCGCTCGCCTATGAAATGCCACCAGAGATGCGAGTTAAAGGGGAAGTTAAGGCAAAAATTAAAATTTCACCAGTTGTAGTCTTCGGGGTGCTGAGTCGAATGGTCGTGGTCCGAGGAAGCTGAGACGCTCCCTTCCTACTTGAATCCCAATCGAACTCGCGCACTTCAACCGAAACTGGGTGACTGCGCCCTACTAGATGGGGATTTGTATGCAAAATGTCACTAAAAGCGCCATTTCGTTCTTATAAAAGCACGGATGACCGCGATTGGCCCATATGTTGTAGTCTTTTGGACGCTGAGTCGACTGGTTTTGGTCCGAAAGGCTGCGATGCAGCGTTCCTCCTTTATTCCCAATCGAACATGGTTGAAGAAGCGGTCACGTGCTCCTGCGTACACCAGTCACCTGGTCACCGTGCCTGCAGGGTACAACTTACTAGCCTGTTTGACCTTTTTTGGGTGCAGTCCTGTCACTCGAGTTGAACCCGAGTTGAACCTTGGTGTGAAAGTTGTCACCTGCTGGCGTGGTGACCAGGTGATTTGGGCACCCAGGACCACGTGACCGCTTCTTCAACCATGTTCGATTGGGAATAAAGGAGGAACGCTGCATCGCAGCCTTTTCGGACCAAAACCAGTCGACTCAGCGTCCCAAAGACTACAACATATGGGCCAAACGCGGTCATCCGTGCTTTTATAAGAACGAAATGGCGCTTTTAGTGACATTTTGCATACAAATCCCCATCTAGTAGGGCGCAGTCACCCAGTTTCGGTGGAAGTGCGCGAGTTCGATTGGGATTCAAGTAGGAAGGGAGCGTCTCAGCTTCCTCGGACCAAGACCATTCGACTCAGCACCCCGAAGACTACAACTGGTGAAATTTTAATTTTTGCCTTAACTTCCCCTTTAAGCATCGTCGTGTTGAGCAGTTGCTAGCTGAGCTAGGTCAAGAGTGTCGACGCTAGCGATGGTAACATCGGCCTGATCACGACGAGAGAGAGCGTTGGCGACAGCATTCTCGATACCAGGTACATAGCGAATGTCAGTCGTGAACTCAGAGATAAAGCTGAGGTGTCGAAGTTGACGAGGGCCATGGTTTTGAGAATGTCAGCTGATGGCATGAGTAATGGGCTTGTGGAACTGTCGACCCTCCAGGCTATGGCGAAAGTGTTTCACGGCAAGGTAGATAGCGAGTAACTCACGGAAAAAACGTGCTGTACCGCGTCTCAGCGGGTTTAAGCTTCCGTGAGAAGAAGGCTATGGGGAGCCTGTCACCAGCGTCGCGTTGCTGCAGGACTGCGTCAACGGCACAGTCAGAGGCGTCGGTCACTAGGCGAACTTCAGCCGACGGGTTGACATGGTGCATGGCGACTAACTCGGAGAATGCGTTCTTGACAGTGTTGAATGCGGTGACAGCATCCTCAGTCCAGGGTAACGGACCTGCTTTCTTCTGTCGACCAGCTAGGAGGGCGTGAAGCGGGGCGAGTTTGGCAGTGAGCTGATGCTGGAACCGGTGGTAGAAGGCGACCATGCCAATGAACTCATGCAGTTTGCGGATGGAGGTGGGCTGTCGGAAAGCACGGATCACTTCCACACGAGCAGCCAATGGGCAGGATGCCAGTAGAGTTGACATGATACCCCAGGAAGTCGAGGGAGGGAACTGACAGACTTCTGAACATTGATGACGAGACCAAAGTCGACCAAACGCTGGAAGACTTGACGGAGATGATCTTCGTGTTCCTCCGGCGTAGCGCTGGCGATCAGGAGGTCGTGCAGGTTGAAGAAGCAAAACGGAAGACCAATGAGTACCTGGTTCATAAAGCGTTGGAAGGTCTGGGCGGTGTTGCGCAGACCGAAGGGCATACGGACAAACTCAAACAGGCCGAACGGCGTAATGACAGCCATCTTAGCGATGTCATCATGGTGGACCAGTTTTGGTGGTATGCGCGGACGAGGTCGATCTTGCTGAAGACGGTGGTGCCATGGAGGCGAGCCGTGAAATCCTGCAAGTGTGGAGTTGGATAGCGGTCAGGTATGGTAGAGGTATTCAGGAGGCGATGTCCACAGGGGTGCCAGTTGCCGGACTTCTTGGGTACCATACGGAGGGGTGATGCCCAGCAGCTGGAGGATGGCTGGATGATGCCGAGCTCAAACATGTGCTGGAACTCCTTTCTGGCGATGCCGAGTCAGTCGGGGGCGAGAGGACGTGTCAGAGCGTGGACGGGGTGGCCGGTAGTGACGATGCTGTGTAGTACGGCATGCTTGACAGGCGAGTTGGCAATAGTCGGTCCAGGAGCTGAGCATTGTGGTCGTCAACGAAGAGACCGAAGTGGGCAGGAAAGTCGGACAGGGTGGCCGGTAGTGACGATGCGGTGCAGGACGGTATGCTTGACAGGCGAGTTGGCATAGTCGGTCAAACCAAGTCAGGGTAGCCGGAGAGCAGAGCGGAGTACTGATTGGGGATGCTGTGACGAGTAGATTGGCTGGTGCAGAGCGAACTACTGGGGTGGCAACGTGATTAGCAGAGACAGACAATCCTGTGCAATCAGTCAGGAGCTGAGCATTGCGGACGTCAACGGAGAGACCGAAGTGGACCGGAAAGTCGGCATCTAGGATGGGGCAGTGGACATCAGGGACGACGAAAATACTCCGCTCTGCTCTCCGGCTCACGTCGGGGTCACCAATTTAGGATTTAACGTCGGGCCCTAGACGACGGCTACAATGGCCAACCAGACAACAAAGAAGTTGAGGCCAAAGAGAATGATTTATTTCCTTGCGCATGCTTATAATGTGATAGTGACGTAAGCGTCAGAGTCAGGCCGCTACAGTACCAGAAACAGCACATATCAGCAACAGCACATAACAGCAACAGCACACTTAGATCAGATTACTGGCTTTTGTTCTCACCTCTCATTGTTCACATTGACTATTGTATTATTTCACCTCACGGCTTTTTGAGTATTTATATTGTGTAACTGTTACTCGTTGAATTACCTTTTCCAGTAAATCCTTCAGAAGAGATGGCAATGAAAACGTTTTTAAGATACCTAGCCTGTGCCAATGGTGTGTGTATTGAATGCGCAACTTGCAGTATTTATGGCGTTGATCTCGGAAGTACATGTAATAGTTCCATTTTGGCTCACTAGGTCTAGTCTATTAAACCGCCCTGCCTCATTGTTGCGATGTACATGTACATGTATGAGTGTATAAATGCATTCCTGAACAATACCTGGCTGACTCTACTATGACACTACTTAGTGCTTACCGTCTCTACCCAATTAGAGTGCACACTAACACAACACTTTGCCTGCGTTTAGTCTAGTCTGTTGTCGTTCTTCTGGTTTTCAATGCCTCCTTATAAACATTTTCTATCACGACATACATGTACATACAATGTCATCACCCCCCCCCCCCCCAACAAACACCCTTCGCTATCATATTGCTGGGCTATGATCCTGTCTGCCTTTGGGAATTAAAATAAAAAAAGATGAAACAATAGCCTGCCAATCCATCCATCCACCAATCCTTTCATCCATCCACCAATCCATTCATCCACCCCGATCTAATCCATGCACAGGCACAGGAGTAGGTACATGTTATCCTGCCAGTGCTCTCCCACAACGCTATTTTTTGTAGTCCCGTTTCGTTTCGTTTTCTAGTTTGTGCTGGTGGATAAATCTCTAACACGACTTACAGATGGAGAAATCATGCCGATGCCATCCGAGAATGTGTATTTTCCATCCCTAGTCTTCACGTCCGGTACTTCCTTAAACTCTGATCCGTCGATGGTGAGTTTGCCTGAGGTGCTCGTGCAGGAGAAACATTGGCCCATGCGCGCAGCGTACTTGGCAACATTCTTGATGGTGGAGAAGTCCCCCATCCAGTTCCGGATGTCAGCAGCTGTGACAGACGGTCGTCGTGCTTCCGTGTCAGACGAGAAGAACCAGCAACTGTTCTCCCTCAGCTGACTGTTGGACATGGCCAGAAAGTCGTAGTGCCGACCCGCAACATCGATGCCTTCACTGAGCGTCTTCCTGATGAAGTCAGTAATCTCTGTAAGTGGTCGGCTGGCTTTGCCCACGTTCAGCTTTTCACGGTGTTCATCGGCAAAGTTCACACGCAGGAAGCGATCTGACAGATGCTTGTAGTGCCTTAGCACACGGTTCGGTGTGTCCAGGTATGGGCCATAGCAGTAGATGAGCAGTGGTGTAATGGTGGCATGGTGAACCATGACGTGATCGTCCGTCGAGCAATCCACCGCGAAGTCGTCCTGTGGTGAATTGCCCACATTGCCACCCTCGTGAATAAGATCTATTGATTTGAGAAAGTCCTCAGCAGGATCCTCCATGACCTCGCCATTCTGATCCAGGTAGTAGCAGTAGCTCTGTTGATAGTGACGCAGGCAGCGATAGGCATTGGGCTGCTCGAGTAGTTCAAAGAACAGCTCCGACATTAGCTCTCGGTACAGCAGACCATCACTCACCATTACCTCGACAAGAAACATGAGCTGAAATGGAACTCTCCTGGCAAGCGTTGCATATTGGCTACGGCTCAGGAGATCAATGGAATTAAGCCGTCGGATACGAGCTAGCTCATCGTAGTGCTCGTAACCATCGTAGTTCTTCCTCATGCGCTTGATGATAGCATCAAACTCTTCTTCACATTGTGGCGTCAGCAGGTAATGGAAGTATTGGCCTTGGATGTTCGGGTCTTGGGTAAACATCCCAGTTGTACGACGCCAGTCTCGCTCCTCTTCCACATCTCCAGCTAGAAAGAAGTAGTCTTCGTGGTACATATCCTCCCCATCATCAGCATCAAACTCCAACATGTTTAGAAATTCTAAAAAACTATGCTCCATCACAGTGCTATGAAGCCCAAAGGAATCATCGTCGTCGTCGTCCTCCTCATCGCCATCAAGAAATCCAAAAGCATTCTCCATAATCAACCGGGTAGCAAGGTCACTGGCTGCAGTCTGCCGCCTGGGTATATCCCTGTCCTTTCTGAACACCAGCGGTGCATTCCAGAAGGCCAGAACAAGACCATGCGATGCACAGCGAGAGGACGCAGCTGCAGCATCACTGGGTAAGTCATCAACCCTCAGATCCAGGAAATACTGCATGTCCTTGAAGAAGAACTGGACTTTGTACTCGTGCTCGTCAGTCATGAAGCACAGGTGAATCTCCCCTTTCCTGAAGTTCACAGTGCACTTGATATCTCCTGAAATGCTAGTGTTGCCATCCAGTGAAGACCATCGCTGCAGGAACATGCTTTGCTTCAGGAAGAACACACCGATTGAGAACGACTGCAGACGGTGGATTTCCAAGTCGATCGGCTCTGTTATAACTTTCTGCCCTCCACGCACTGATTTATCCACTTTCAGCAGGCGATCGCCGAGCATCATAGAGCAATTGAGTCCCAGAGCTCGATCACAATCTGCACGGCTAGCGACCCGCACGAAGGCATACGGACGTTTACTCTTTGGTTTCTTGATCTGGCAACGCAAAACCTTGACGCCATGTCGTTCCATCTCGGATTTTAGGCTTTTGGACTTGGTTCTCCGCGGTAGATTTCTAATGACTAACTCCGGTTGAGTCCTATCACCCGACGTCGTACTCCCCAAAGCTGCCATTGCGCCGCTAAGGGTAAAAGGAAATAATTATTTTGAGTGGCTGAAGGGGAAGAGCCGAAGAAATAGACTTGAGTCTGACTATTGAATCGCCCAAATCTCTCACCCACCGTTTCAGCTCGCACTCATGTCGTTCAACTGAAATGCAAGTCTGTGATTGAAAAGTCACGGACCAGAACCTACTTCACCTGCCAAGAATGATATTATTAATATGCTCGTTCTGATCTAGCACTGTCCGAAACTCTTTCGGTACTCGCTCTGGGGAATTCCCTTCTGTTGCGTCATAATAATATTAATATTATCAAGACGACAAGAGCCCCTTGTACTGTAGTGTTGGGGGTCCCGTAATGTTGGGAGGTTATACATGTACGTCATGTACTCTCTTCACACCTGATCGAGTACTGTCCGAAACTTTTGGAGAATCGTTAACAAATAATAATAGTCCTTCAGTTCAGGCTTCACTACACTACAAAACGGGTCATGCAATAATAATACATTTGCATGACAATCATGTCCATGTAGATCTACATGCCATTATGAGTCCTGTTGTATCAGAGGCATCAACAGTAACGTCAACGTTAGGATGGTTTCACAGTTTCAGTAGCATTGCGAAGATGAAATGTTTCGACTTCACCAGGACCATACATGTACATGTACACAATCATGTATCGTGCTACTGCAAACTCTAGCCAAGGTCAAAATTAAATTATGGTACACGCATGGACCCTTAGGCTTTCCCCAAATCCCTATTCGGTAGGCTCCGGCGGATTATGCTCGCGAAATCATGGAATTATGCTTCTCTCATTATGCTCGCGAAATCCTCATAATTATTATACTTGGCATGCGGGGATACATAATTATCACTTTGTTGTACTTTAAAGGGGAAGTTAAGGCAAAAATTAAAATTTCACCAGTTGTAGTAGTAGTCTAAGTCAACATCTTGTGAACAAACTTGAAATCCAACATAAATCTCTTCTTAAAATATTGTTTAACAAGCAGCGTTTATTTCCTAGTCTTGAGCTCTATTGTATCAGCAATACTCAGCCACTGCAAGATAATCGCAAACAGCAGCTTTGCGTTTTGATCCACAGAATTCACCTAGGTAAAATTCCCATTCATCTCTCCGTATTCAATTGGTTTTCTCTGTCCCGGTCCACTCGTAATAGTCTCTCACTTCCCTGTGCTAATTCAGCCGCATTTACCAACTCTCCTCTGTTTTTGTCCTACAGCCTTTGGCTGCAACTTCCCCAGCATGTTAAGACATCAAAATGTCTTTCCAGCTTTAAAAATGCACTCCGATCGCATAATGTAGTACGATAGGATCTCATTGCTGGATTCTTGTCTATCCTTCTTTCTTCTCTTTTTCTATATTCCTTTCTTTTCTTTTCTTGCCGTGGTTGGCTATCACCCCTCTCTCGCACTTTGCGTGCCAATTGGTCATGAACCACGAGTTGAGTGAAATAAATAAATAAATAAAAATAAATAAATAGTCTTCGGGGTGCTGAGTCGAATGGTCTTGGTCCGAGGAAGCTGAGACGCTCCCTTCCTACTTGAATCCCAATCGAACTCGCGCACTTCCACCGAAACTGGGTGACTGCGCCCTACTAGATGGGGATTTGTATGTAAAATGTCACTAAAAGCGCCATTTCGTTCTTGTAAAAGCACGCATATGGCCGATTGGTTTGCAGGCCTGCCTGCGAATCATGAGGTCCCGAGTTCGAGACCCGCGCTGGTAGCAGGGAGCGTGTAAAGACTTTTTACGTGAGTAAAGACTTTTTACGCGTGGTGAACTGCGCCGACACCCACGGTCAACTGGGTACTCACAGCTCGGAGTGAGGGTAACAAGGATGCAGTTTACAGGGTTATGGGCCGTTACACGCCCGATTGGTTGAGAGACTCACCTACTCTCCCCTGACTCACTTGTGAGGTCTGCATTCGCCACTCAGGTGTGCAAGGCATAGGCATAGTGGTGGCCTGCGGAAGCGAAGGCTAGTTTGTGTGTTTCTGAACATTCAAGCGATGCCAACGCGAATCCCGCGAATTATTATTATTATTATTAAAAGCACGGATGACCGCTATTGGCCCATATGTTGTAGTCTTTTGGACGCTGAGTCGACTGGTTTTGGTCCGAAAAGGCTGCGATGCAGCGTTCCTCCTTTATTCCCAATCGAACGTGGTTGAAGAAGCGGTCACGTGCTCCTGGGTGCCCAAATCACCTGGTCACCACGCCAGCAGGCGACAACTTACTTTCACACCAAGGTTCAATTCGAGTGGCAGGACTGCACCCAAAAAAGGTCAAACAGGCTAGTAAGTTGTACCCTGCAGGCACGGTGACCACTGACCAGGCCACCTGCAGGTGACTGGCGTACGCAGCAGCACGTGACCGCTTGTTCAACCATGTTCGATTGGGAATAAAGGAGGAACGCTGCATCGCAGCCTTTTCGGACCAAAACCAGTCGACTCAGCGTCCAAAAGACTACAACATATGGGCCAATCGCGGTCATCCGTGCTTTTATAAGAACGAAATGGCGCTTTTAGTGACATTTTACATACAAATCCCCATCTAGTAGGGCGCAGTCACCCAGTTTCGGTGGAAGTGCGCGAGTTCGATTGGGATTCAAGTAGGAAGGGAGTGTCTCAGCTTCCTCGGACCAAGACCATTCGACTCAGCACCCCGAAGACTACAACTGGTGAAATTTTAATTTTTGCCTTAAAATATGGAGCCTCAACGATTTGTACATGTACCCGGACCACGCTGTCAGCAAACAATGCCCAAAGAAACCACGGGTCTTAGGCCAAGGATAAAACAATTCTGAAAAGGGGAAAGCAGTGAACGCTTGAAAGGTAAACAATAGAGGGTATGCCATAACATCCGTCATCGTCATTTGGCTCAGAATTTTGAGATGCTTTGGCGAAGTCGCGGACAGTCCCTTGGCTGACATACATGTACATGCCGTGTACAATGGCTTTTGTACATATACATGTACATGATTGTAGTACTTAGTACAGAAATAATTGTCAGTACTAGTACAGTGTACATGTGTATGGATATGGATATGGATATGGATAGCTGAATCATCGTATCACCAACGATTCACCATAACCATTCTGGAGTCGCACAGGGAAGGAAGATTTCAGAAGCTAGCTGTGAATACATGTAAGCGTATGAATAAGATTAGTGCTCACTTACACTTACAATGACATGTAGCTACCAGTATTCTAGTGAAACTGTTATTATTTCCGGATACCGACACCCTTGACCCTTGTATAGACCACTGTCAGACTGTGTCAGTGCAACGTACACAAGGTACATGTACATGTAAACTCCAAGGCTCAAATAATAATAATTGTTTAGAGTCTGGGAGTTTCACACTCCGGCACCACTACTAGAACACTGAACAGGGTGAATAGGTGAATACGTGACCACAACACATAACAGACCAAAACTGAATAAGCAACTAGCGTACACGGCACACCAGGTACCCGCGTGCAGTTCTTTAGCTAGTACCATGTACCAGTCAGGGAGTCGTAAAATACGTATTTTACGACTCCCTGGTACCAGTTTACTGGGAAAGCTGAGCTAGCTGAGTGCCCAGAAACACGCGTGCATGCGTGCGCGTAGCGTAGGTCTACTGCACGTTCAGGTCGAGTGCATCTCTCTTATCTGTAGATCTAACCACTGTACTTAGTCTGTAGCGAAGCCTGGACTGACTGTCTGTGTGTCTTATCTGTGTCACAGCTACGGTTGCACGGGATCCTGACTCATACCATTAGTAGCATTACTACTACTACTAGTACTAGTATAGTAGTAGATCATGTAGATCTACTAGTACTAGCAGTGAAAGCGTCACTGCGCTGCATGCACCTACTAGCTACTAGTACTACATTGTATTAGTATTACTAAGCTCAACTTACTTATCACCATGATCACTGCAAAGACAGTGCAATGAATCGTCAAGGTGCGTGACGTGACTGACGTCCCGGGTGTCGGGGTGAGGAGTGAAGTCTACTGAACTTCGAGGCTGAAGACACTCATTCAGCATTTCAGGTACATACATGACTCGTGCTTTTTCCTCTTGTCATTACATAAAACGCCCTGCCAAGCTAGCAAACTGTCGGCATTGAGAGTCGATTTTTTAGTTGGACTGTCAGCACTTGCTACCTGACTGGCTGGGATCAGGCAGCTACGGGGCTGTTGGACTTGTGATCCGTTGATTAGCTGTCGGTCTGTGCCAGGACAAAGCGATATGCGGTTGTCGTAGGTCTATGCTGACGTCGTTGCCTGCCACATGCACAGTTCAATGTTGCGATAAGTTTGTTCGACTTTAGTCTTTAGTCGACTCCTGTCCTGACTGACAGTGACACCGAATCTCTTCACAAATCTCTTCACAGTGTGGTGGTGGTGAACAGGCAGCAGAGCTGCGAAGCGTCATCCACCTACATTTGTAGAGCCAGGCATCATGCACGCGAATGGCGGAAGGAAAGCGTTACGGGAGAGCGGATACGTAGCACGATAGTACTTGTGGCGCTGCTACAGACAGTACAGCACTGCACGAGGCCGAGGCTCAGAACAGACACAGTCAGTGTAGTGACTCGTGTGTAGCTTGATATTATCGAGATCTCGGTGGAAAACAAAGCCTTTATATTTACGTGTGTTTCACTCGTTCATTGGACTGCAGGCAGAGCGGTGTGGACTAGCTCGATGAGCGTTGTGCTGGTGGCAAAGTAGGAGTGTATCAGTCTCCAACAAAGAGCTGTTTTGTTTCACGCGATTATCTTCGCCCTGCGATTTAGATTAGATTGGTGAAAGTAATTGCAGAAATAAATGAAGAAGTGCGCAAAACAAGCTCTGCACTCTTGTGGATATTGAACGGTATTTGGAAGGCCACACTGATAACGAAGTACTTAGCACTTCAGTGAGGCGTCTAGTGTTGGTGGGCTACCCATCGCCATCGCCTGCAAGCACCTGTCAGCAGATGCGGATCCAGTCAACGCACCTCATTATCATTATCATCGCAGTCATTTCCATTCTCCCATGAGCAGTATAGGATGGCGGCCGCCGCAGATGGGTGAACTGTGACAGTACTCAAGGCATTCCGTGAATGAACCCAGAACTAGTGGAGGGCGTACTGCTCTGCACTGACAGTGGCATTGTATGTGAGGTGAATATTCTCGGTGAGCATGAAGCTAGTTGGA